TCGGAGGTGAGGGGGTGAGATCGAAGTGGAACGGAGAGCCCCCCTACCGGGAAATCGATTTCGGTTTCGTGTTCGTGCGTGCCGTGCGTGCGGGCGAGGCGAAGCTGCGTGGGCGGGCGAGAGGAAAGTCTCCTGTGGCTGAGGCGCGGCCGGACCAAATGATTCTCCACCGGGCGGCCGGTGGCGCGCGGTGTCCCGCCGGTGTCCCGGTGGTGTCCTCTGTGGCTGAGGCGCGGCCGGACCAAATGATTCTCCACCGGGCGGCCGGTGGCGCGCGGTGTCCCGCCGGTGTCCCGCCGGTGTCCCGTCGGTGTCCCGTCGGTGTCCCGATCATGATGTTGATGATGATGATGATGATGATGATGATGATGATGATGATGATGATGATGATGATGATTATGATAATGATGGTGATGATGATGGTAATGATGATGATGATGTTAATGATGGCGATGATGATGATGATGATGATGATGATGATGTTGATGATGTTGATGTTGATGATGATGATGATGATGATGACGTCGATTGCCAGATTGATTGTGATATCGGTAGTGAGACCGAATGTGAGATCGATTGTGAGATCGATAGTGAGATCGATTGTGAGATCGATAGTCAGATCGATTGTGAGATGATGATGGTGATGATGGTGATGATGGTGATGATGGTGATGATGATGGTGGTGATGATGATGATGACGTTGATGATGTTGATGAAGATGGTGTCCCGATGACGAATATGTTGATGATGATGTTGATGATGGTGATGATGATGATGATGATTTTGATGATGATGATGATGGTGTCCCGATGATGATTTTGATGATGATGATGATGATGATGACGTTGATGTTGATGATGATGATGATGATGATGATGATGATGATGATGATGATGATGATGATGATGATGTCGATGATGATGATGGTGTCCCGATGTGAGACCGAATGTGAGACCGAATGTGAGATCGATAGCGAGATCGATTGAGTGAGACGTTGGTTCCCCCTCCCCCCTCACCTCCTTATCACCCGCAGGGTGGTCGTATAGGTATGGGAAACTATGGGAATTGGGCGGGAAGACAAAACCCCGGGAAATATGGGAAAATACGGGGAATCATTTCATTTGTGTGTATTTATTTGTGTGTCCTGGGGCCCCTTGAGCATCAGGTCGTCGGAGATGCGGGCCCCCTTGTGGTCTCCGGGCCACCGCTCGGGCCATCCAGCGGCCGTTCGGGGAGGTCCAGGCACCCTCAGAACGCCCTCGGCGAGGCGCGGCTGCTGGAACGCACCCCGAGGCAGGAAAGCCTCCAGCCACCGCCGACAGCGCCCGAAAACCTCGAGCCTCGAGCCGTTCCAGGAGGCGGGGGGGCGACGACGACCCTCGAGCGAGGTCCATGACCTCGAATTCCTCGATCCTCGAATTCCGGCTCCTCGAACACCCTGGGGGGCCCGGCGGAAGGGGAAGAAGGAGGGGGATAAGGAGGAAAAGGAGCAGGGGGAGGAGGATAACGAAAAGAAGGAGGAGGAGGAGGAGAAGGAGGAGGAGGATCCGTAGCCATTTAAGTCCTTTCATGAGGGGGCCCGCATGGCCCCCCAGTGTCGTTGGTGGATAACCTCCAGCTTCCGCCATGATGCCCCGTGGACCTGCGCGTCCTGTGGAACGGAGGGCACTCCGCCACGAAGATACGGTGTTGATTGTGCCTTGCCCCGGCCCCGAAGCATATGCAGCGCCGCATCCACAAGGCCTCAGGCGCGCCGCCGAGGCAGGACCCACGCCCCCCCCCGCCGCCCAAGGGGCGCGGCAAAGGGGGCAAGCCCGATGGCGGCGGGCCCCGCGCCCCTCGCGGCGCTGCTTGTAGCGCTGGCGGCCCGGCGGGCGGCGACGGCGCCGCTGCTTGGGGCTGGCACGGCGCAGAGGAACCGGCCTCTCCACCAAGTGGCCCTCTGGTGGAGGCGAAGCCCGCGCCAAGCTCGACCAGGCCACCGGCACCTTGGGGGCCGTGGCTGAGCCCTCCGTGGATGCCGAGGTCGAGCGCAAGCGCGCAGCGCGTGCAGCTGTGGTGGCAGGGCAGCGTGCCGGCAAGCCTGTCCCGCAGCAGTTGCAGCAGTTCGAGAACAAGATGACCACCCTGAGCGAGAAGTTGGAGCGACAGCGGGATTTTCTGCTGCCCGACTTGAAGGAGCAGTTGCAGGCCGCCAAACAGGTGGAGACCACCTTTGCCACGGAGCACGAGAAGCTGCGGACCGAGAGGACAGCGCTGGCCCAGAAGCAGCAGGAAGGCAGCCACCGCAGGCGGCACCGCACTGTGGCACCGCGGCAGTGCAACAGCTAGCTGGGGGGTTCGAGAAGCTCGTGCAGGAGGCGTTGCCCGAGACGGGCGCTGGCGGCGCCAAGGTGCCCGAGGCGTTCACCACCGTGCTCAAGGAGCTGGTCGGGGAGCTCAAGGGCACGGCGCAGGCCCCCGTGGAGCCACTGGTGGGTTCTGGACGGCCTGGGGTACC